AACATACTTCATTACCAATGTGCCAGGTGAACGTTCCTTTTCGAAATTAATATACGTCATTTTTTTAAGTTTTTTTAAATATTACTTAATGCATTTTTTTTTGTAGTGGAGACCATAATTTTGTGAGGGTCTCCAAAATTATGGTCGGCTAAGGTCTTGTAGCCGAGTTTTTGACCTTTATGGTTCTGTAGCCTTGTTTTCTCTATTGTTAATACAAAACTGGTACACCGCATTATAATGTTATGTTATTATTTCATACTATATTGAATTTGCACTAAATAAAGTAGTAAAATCTGCGTTGCTTGTTTTTCATTCCATCATAATGGAATTAATAAATTATAATTTAATTTTTTATTTATGTTAGACAATTGTAAGTCTGATTTAATATTAAAAAGTTCTTAAAAGTATCTTAACGATTGCTTGGATAATTTAAAAATCATTTAAAATATCTAAAAATTTTAATTATAATCGCATCGAAATTGCATTAGATGGAGTATTGGAATCTTGCATGCGTTGTCGGAGTAAATACCGCAATCAACTCAGTAGGCAAAATGGTAATGGTTACCCACTGGCACATGAAATTAGTTACAGCCAATTCAGCAAACAGCTTCCAAGCAACAACCAACAACCAACCTACATGCTGCAATCAGCAATAATGGCATCAGCAACAAATGCCACAGCCCAGCAACACAAAGCCCACAAATAGAGAAATAAATAACAATTTTGCTATTTTTAATTCAATTACAACAACAGCTCACCTATCGCACATGCAGTTTACATGACAGGGATGTGTTATGTACTGTTGTGCTGTGCAGCCTGTGCTGTGTTGCCAACGAAATTAAATCAAATCAGTGAAAATTAATTTTTAAACTGAATGTACAGAAAGAAAAGAAAAAATGTAATAGAACTAGAAGTAGTAGAAGAAGAAAAAGAAAAAGAAATAAATAATATGTTTATAATAAATTCATAGAAATATGGCTTCTAGGCGTTTTCAAATTGTTACAATCGAAATTGTTGGAAAAAATTATGGAAGCACAATTTAAATGAACCGCAAAGCAGCAATAATAAACGACTCCAATGCACAACATAAGCTGCTAAGGAATCATCTCTGTAGCCGAGGTAATCGGTCGAATTTATGGCATTATAAATAAAGGTGATTTCCCATATTTACGTGGGCAGTAAAAAGTAAATTAAATGTTTGCAACTTCATTTATGGCGTTGCCAATGGATTAGGATTTTTTCTTACTCTTACTCTTATGATTACTTTTTAATATTTTAAATGTCAGATAATGATTTTATGTGTTCATATATAAAGTATTCAATATTGTAAAAATATTATAAATATTTTATTTATAAATGCTTTAAGTTTAACGTTCAAACGCAGATAATAGTTAATAATTTTTTTAAATTTCTAGTTAATACAATCAAATTTCCATAACTTGAACTTCTATAACTCGAATTTTCTATAACTCGAACTAAAACGAATGCAACAGAGTTTTAGAGAGCAAACTGGATCCATTATTTCACATCTGAGGGAAAACAACAAGCCATAGAATGGGTAGAACGTGGAAATAGTGCTTCCAAACGACCACGAACTAAACAATCGGTTGGAAAAGTGTTTATTTCCATTCTTTGGGATCAAAGTGGAATAATTTTCATAGAGTGTTTGCAAAAAGTAAAACCAATCAGATCAAGCAACTATTGCATATTATTAAATCGATTGAATAAGAACCGATTGAACCAAGACAAAATTACCACATTTGTCAAAGAAAAACGATCCCACCTACACGCCAATTAAAACTATGGCAAAATTAAATGAATAACGGTAGGAATTACTGTCTAACCCACCGAATTCTCAAGATTTGGCTCTTATTGACTATTACTTGTTTCCAAACTTGAAAAGATGGATCCAGGGAAAGAGATTTACATCAAATGATGAAATTGAATAGGAAACTGGGGTATGTTTTAAAGGACTGAATAAATTGTGTTATATAAAAGGTATACAAATGTTGAAAGATCGTTAGACTCACTGTGTCGAGCCAAAAGTGGATTATATTGTAGCACAAAATATAATTTTTTTACTTAATCCGGCTATTTATTAATCCAATAGAGAGATTCATGACTTGTCACCAATCACAACTGGTTTCAAGCACTTTTTGTAAAAACGTTAGAGATTGTAAACTCATTACCTAGTGATATTTTTGACACAAGACACTTGTTAGATAAAATATGGCAGAGTCGAATTTAAGAAGACTAGAAAATGCGAATATTGCTTACTATTATGTCAACACGGTTGTTGAAAATAAGACTTACAATAATAATTTTTTTTAATAATACAATTATAAATGTATCATATTCATAATATAAATATACGATAGACGACTTTACGAGCTGCTGCTCCTTGTTCAACGATGACATATATTTTATAATATTCTGTTTAAAAAGAATTAGTAACAAAATAACCATAAAAATCTTAACTGAATAACTAATACCATTATATTAATTTTTAAAGAAGTATATATGTACTACATTTATATATAAATTTGTACAAAAAAAACTTAAATCATCTTCTTCCTGCAATACCACCTACTATTGTTTCTTTATGAAAGATCCTCAAATCGCTCATATACGCATATCATCTTAAGAGATTCAAATCATTAATAACAAGTAGCTTAGAAAGATCTGTGAAAGGCACTGTGTAATGGTTTCATGGTTACTATGATCTCTTAATCGTACTTCAAACAAGGAAATTTGTCGGCATTAGCTTTCAATATGCAAAACAATTAATAACACAAATCCCACAATAGGCGAGTAGAGTGTAGACGACTCCACACACATTACATCAGTGGAATGCATTAAAGAAGACATAATTACAAAATCACATTAGCATAAATTACACAAAATATCATATGCAACAAATGCGAAAAACAAAATTTATTAAGCAGACAAACAAAAAATACTGTTGTCTGCAAATGCGACCAAACTGCAGCAGTGCTGAGAGGCTACATTGCCTCGGTGATCAACATTAATAACCAATTACAAACATGGACGGCAAATTACTTAAAAAACTCATACATCAAAATTTCAACGCCGTAATTAAGGCAACAAAATAAGCGCGAAAAGCGACGCGTACGCCGCCATACAACATATCCTATTCACATTTCGCTATTCACATCTCGCTATTCACATCTCGCTACTCACATCTCGCTATTCACATCTCGCTGTTTGGTAGTTACCATTTGCCGCTTGCCATTTACCATTTACCATAGAACACAGCAAAAGTGACCGACCGACTTTGCTATTCATTGCACTTCACAAAGCAGCGCTGTGAACTTCGCTGAAATTATGCACTGAAAGGCACTTGCCTCGGTCGTCGGGATGTGTGATGTGTGAGCCATGCAAATTAAAAAATTGCACAATAAAAAGGAAGCGTAATGATGAAACTGGGAATCCCGCAGCGCTGATATGTCGCACATTGAAATTGAAAATCGCGAAAAGTGAACGTGGCTGACTATGAACGCCCTACATAGCTGCTAGCATAACATGCTGCACTGGTTTGGGATCAAATATTAGTGTTAGTCGTATGCTTTCTGTACTCTTTGCTTTTTGTCGTTCTCACATAATTTCGGGTCGCGGTTTTTCATTGTCATTTACTTGTTGCAATTGCATCAAAGCAGCGGCGGCTTTTGCTGGTTACTTTGTTTGTTAAGTAGTTTTTAAAATAGCACAGAATCTGGAGACTCCAGAACATAATTATTTTTTATTTTTTTTTCTGCCTCTAACTATCCTCACAGATGATTGGTTGACGAACCAATCTGGAGTGTGTGTGAAATGCGTCATATGAAAATTTACTTCAGTCCATACTTGATAGTAATTTTATGCTATAATTTTTATTATGGATGCGAGTTTAATGTACACAGCGGTAACCCTGATACTTGCGCTATGTTCCTCTATAATATTTTTAGTCAGTTCAGTTAGGATAAATGCTATTTGTGCGTCAACAACGATGAACTCCACCCATGTGATATGCTATACTCTCATATCTCAATTGACAAATGTGTTTAATTAAGTTAAATGTACGATTATAATTTATTTTATATATCCAAGTTTTTTTTGCCGTTTCTTCTATATGAATATAAATAAACAAAAATATAAATACATCGAAAAATTAAGAATTTCGTATTCTGAGTTGAAAGATCTATCTGTAATATCTATTGTGCAACCCTTGAAAAGAGTTTTCTAATATTTACACATTCAAATTACTGATAAACCTAATAATATCGCTTGATTGTAGACCTCCAACCTCATTGTATTTAATAAAAATTGGAGTTAATAAAAATTGACCAGAACAATCGTGTTCTGCTATCAATCGCAGAACACAAGCAGTAGGGATGGGTGAAAGTTTCTCTCTACACTTTACTGAATCTGCTTGTATCGATGAACTGCTTAGAGTATCGCATGCCTCTGAAGTTAAAAGGTGCAATAAATAATAGAACAATAAATTCAGGAACTCCTCCAGTTACGATAACATTTATTAACCAAAGTTTTGATCAATTCATATTGAGAAGCCAGTCATTCCGAATATTTATCCAGTTGAACTGTTTGAAATGTTCAGATCCTCTAAGTAAAAAAAAAGAACAATAAAGAATATCAACAAGAGATCACGATTTTTTAATGCAATAGATTCAGCATGATGTCTTGTTAATAGATATCAGATTTGTTTAGATTAAGGAGTCATTATCATTAAACCGAAAAAAATTTGTGAACTGCTCAGACCTTCTAAGTAAAAGCGAGTATAATACTAGATATTATAATCATTTAATATTAATAGTAGAGCAATCCTGAATTATTAAAATTCAGGAACTACTCCTACTGCTGTTCTTCTCTCCTAAGTGGAGCATAGGGCCTATGCTTGTATACAGGTCTTGGTATATCAATAACTCTCACAAAAATGCATGGTTAAGTTTAGAAATAGCTTAAAAAACAAAAAATAACCAAACTTCTTTTATGGTTTTGTAGGTCTGTTACGTTTTATTTGACTCAATTTGAAACCGGTAGTAATTTTTAAGAACAAAATTTTGCGAGGAATTCTTCCAATTATAAACTTAAGCACGTACTTTTTGCTATAACTCCCTAACAGACAGCAATACAATTATCTGTGTAGTCTGATTTCTTTCCTTTTTCAAATTTAAACATACTAAAAAATAGAAATCATGTTCAAACCGAAAATAATTAATCTCGAAATAAATTTTTGTAATAATATGTGATCATCAGAATATTCAGTTTTTTTCACTGGAGGATTAATGGGACCATATAAGAACTCTTCCATCAAGTAATCGCCACCACCACACACTTTGCGTTCCCATATTTGACTGAGACAACACAGATCACCTAAAGTACCATCATATTCATTAGGTAGAATATTTGGAGAAAACTTGGCATGCAAATTAGTTGGATTTAAGCTGTATGGAGGCTAAAGAAAAATGAATACTATTACTATTATATAAATAAGTAATACAATATCTTACACACCAATCGTGTAGTATTAATTAAACAAAATAGTTTCGCCAAATATAAAATCGCTTTCAATGTGAAGGGCGCATTAATAATATGAATCGATTTTGCTTGTAGACGCAGACCATACCGAAATATCATATCAAACTTATTTCTGTTATGTATAATATTCCACATTTTTTTTAAGTTTATGTTCTGACAATCTATTAAATAGACGACGCCAAATATGACTGCATTATCTTCATCATTAACTAACAGCTCCTGTGCTATATAAATCAATTGCATGAACTCTGAAAATTTCGATTCTGCAGCACCAGGTCGAATCAAAATTACACGCGGGCCCCAACGATGAATGGGACGTGGTAAAACTTGTACCAATCTATTTGGAATTCAAATATAAGAACATATTTGGAATTAAATATTACAAATCTTATCTGTTATACTAACCCACTGCAAATCAAATTTTTGATTCTTGGATCATTTAAATCTGGTGATGAGAGGCAATCTGTATACTTTTCACGTAATAAGTAGAATATTTCCATTTTTCCTTTCGCAGCTCCAACATCATGATTGGCTTGACGCAAAAATGATAACAGAAATTGTGCATTTCTGCGCATAGTAAAAGTTCTGTGATTGCATATCCATTCTCTTAATTCCGTGATTTCTTCGACTATTCGTTCTGGGTCCTCCCTATATCGCTTTGCAGCAAATTTGGCTACTGTTGGGGACAAAGCCCTTACTTTAATAATTTGTTCTTCCTCGGTTACATTTCTATTACTTTCTTCATCACCACACATAACAGGGAAAACTTGTAGAGCCATTGTTATACCTTGTGATCAAAAAAGAACTTTAATTTTTAATTTTTGAGTTCCCGCGCTTATCCAATCGGTAAATTTTTCGACTTCTTTGTATAGACGCCAAACAAAAACTATTCGTACGATATGGGTTAAACTTTGACAGAAAGTGTATACTAGTGTTGCCAGCGTGAATATAAAAAAAATTTACCGATTGGATAAGCGCGAGAATTTAATAATAGGCCTCTCGTTCTTTTTTGATCAGAAGGTATATACCCACAGAAATTGCCGAACACCAAATTATTTACTCATTTAGAAACAAAACCACATTTTTTTATATTTTTCAAATAAAAAAAAAATTATGTTAAAAAAAATAATTGAATTCGATAAAAAGTGCCAACTTTGTTTTATTTCAAATTTTATACGAGATTGCTTAGATTAAATCAGGTTTAACTAGTTGACATAGACCAACTAGTCTTTTGGTCTGTAAAGTTATCGGAATGTCTGTGTTAAGTACGTACCAACTGATGTATATATATTGCGGAACAAATAGCGACCCCCCTGAAGTGAAAATTTAGCTGAAGTAGACCACGTAACGTTAGGTCCTTTTCCGTTCTTCGATTCTTGGACACCTCTTGTTAGTGCAAACAGCTCATTTAGCTTCAGGTTGACTGCCAAGTCATTGCCATCCCAATGGCCAGTGTTGGATATTAGGTCAATATAAACATCGCTGTCTCTTTTTCTTCGCTCTGAAACTTGAAGTTTTTATGTTCACAGCAATTAATGAAGTCAGCCACGGATAGCTAAGCACCTTTATCGCTTCACTGACCATCGGTTTTGGCATCATGAGTTTATTCACTTATCATGCTATCCAACTACTGCATACAATGTGGTGGCATTGTATACAAAAAATTTAGAAATTTTTCTAAATAGCTGGCGGTGAATAACCAATCTTCCAAAACCTCCAATTTTCTATATTTTTGAGACGAGTCTTAGTCTTTAAAAGTCTTCCATGCGAATCCACGTGAATCCATGTGAACCAATCTTCCAAAACCTCCAATTTTCTATATTTTTGAGACGAGTTTTAGTCTTTAAAAGTCTTCCATGCGAATCCATGTGAATTCTTTCTAAAACTCAACATATCAGTACACTTATAAATCATTGATTCACATTGTATGAATAGGAGTATTCGTTTTTTTAATCCCTTTCTTTGGAAACAATTTAATGACCATACGATCGCTAATTTCTTTACATTGTTCAGAAATACATTGAGATGTGATCTTTAAATACTTACAAACAATGAGTAAATCAATAGATGGAAATTGAATTGTGACTATATTTTAATAAAAAATTTGGAATTCAAATATAGAAATTTTAGTTAGACTTTTGTTAGATAGATGGCGCTTATCAAACTATGGGCTACTATGTATGTTATGTTTATGTAAGTATTTTTATATATGGAAGAGTGAAATTAAATTATGACTGTATTTCTATAAAAGATGAGGAATAAGAATATTGAAGTTTTAATTAAACTTTTTGTAGACAGATGGCGCTATGCAAACTATGGGCTACTATGTGTGTTATGTGTATGTAAGTATTTTTATATATGTAAGGGTGAAATTAAATTATGGTTGTATTTTTATAAAAGAGGAGGAATAAGAATATTGAAGTTTTAATTAAACTTTTTGTAGATAGATGGCGCTTTTCAAACTATGGGCTACTATGTATGGTATGTTTTTGTAGGTATATTTATATATATACGAGTGAAATTAAATTATGACTGTGTTTTTATAAATGTTTTTATAAATATAATGTAAGTATGTAAGTATTTTTATATATGGAAGAGTGGCGTCGAAAGTGCTAATGTAAGTACATTTAATTCATTTCAACTTCTCTGTTTTATTATTATACCGATAAATTTTTGTTTTAGTAGTTTTGTTTTTTATTTTATGAGTAAGCAACAAAACCTATTTACACACTCATGTTAGTATTTTGGTTTTTATTGAAGGAATTCGAAAATCGTATGCATACTTGACCCAACTTGATATGACGTGAATACGATGAGGTAAATCATAACAAAAGTTCAAACAATAATGTGAGGTAACTAAGAAATACTCTGCAGAGAGGCACTAAAGCTAACATATTAAAAATATGTGCACAAATAGCAACCGAAACCGAAAACAATGTAAATCCTTCTTGCCTGCAAAGGAACAATGTAGTCCTGTACGAATTTTATGACCCCATTTATGCATAAACGCACACATTTGGGTCAAGTATGATACACAAGTCAAGTGTGATATACATTTATGGCAATAAGAAAGCATATGAAACTACATAAAATAGCATTTAAAAGGCGTGTGTGTAGGGAGAAAATCATAAAAACTGTGAAATGAACTAAGGTAAATATGAAAAACAATACAGCATACCTAACATGAACAACAACAACAACAACAACAACAACAAATCTTCAGTTACAATAAAAGTCATGTGAGAAAATTTACGTCTCTTCATTGAGTTTTTTAATAAAAAATTCTGATGCTGTTATTCTGTGTATTCGAGCTCCGGTCTAATACTAAGCCTGATGAGTTCACAAGAGCAGAGCATTGAACATAAACTGAAATTCTAACATAGGAATTAAACCGAACTTTACATAAATAACTGCTTAAGTGGACTCATCACCGCACAATGCGTCTAATACGCATATCTGGTACATTTCATATAATCTTCATGCTTTATTCAACCGACTGAAACTGTAATTATGTTTTATGATTTCATCCATTGTTACCAGCTTTTATAGCGCATAGAAGTTCTCCAATCTCTTTTGGTTTCATAAAACTAATTCTGTGTCGAGTGCAGCTACAACGTGTGAATATATTCCAGAAATTCCATTTGAGATTTAGGCATGCCTCATCCAAGCATTCGGACAAATTCTGGTAATTTTTATGACGATTAAAAATTTTTATAAGTGCATATAGTATCTGATGTTGGTATTTATGTGATTCCACATTTTACAACAAAATATTTTTCTTTTTATATGCGCTTGTCACAAAATCGTAAAGGCAGTCGTAGTGGAGCTATGAACCCAAAGCATCGGGCATTGAGACACGTTAGTTGCTAACATGAGCAGCTGCCATAATTTTCCAAATGTGTACCGACACCGAAACTTTATGGCTTTTGCTCTATTATGTGAAAAATGCAATTTTATTGGCTGTAAAACATACAAGTTTTCTAATGTTAGATACAAAATTTTTCCTCGTCAATAATTTGTTTTCATTTTGTTCGTTGAAACATTGAAATTCTTAGGTTTCGAATTTTTTAAATAATTTAATGTCACAATAATTTTGAAAGGCGAGATCGCCGGATTTCTCCATATTTTTCTTTACTTTAATTAAAATTTAATAGTTTATGTTTAAAATTTTGTTTTTTAAAATAAATAAAATTTGTTAACAAAGATTTAATATCCTTAATAAAATATTTTGAATAACATGATCAATATTAAGACAACACGAACCAATATTGGTTATTTGCATGGATTGACTTATAATTTTATAATTTTTGTTGAAATAAAACTGATAACTACGTAAATTATTAATTAAACTTAATTTGTTAGCATAATTAATACTTAGAAGTATATATGTAAGGTAGGTTGCGACGGAGGCCTTGTATCCAAGAAACTACACTTGAGGTCAATTAATGGGCCATTGTGGTAGCACAAGAATAGCGTTGGTTCGTACATAGACTAAATCTCTACATATATAGAACACAGGAGAAAGTCTGAAAGTCATGCCTACTATAAAGTCAACTCTTCTTTATTATTTGACCGTTATTTAAAGTATATATATTGAATGCATTGCATAATATATAGAAAAGACAAATTGGCTTTTTAATACAAAAAGGAATGTCTTTAATCAAGCTGCTTCGTGCAGCTGCCATGTACTTTTAAATGTGGTTTCACAATAGGACCCCTTGTTTAGGACTTAAGTGATCTTTGTCTTTTTGCTGTGGGCCTTAGCTATATAAATATTTATATACACAAATATGGATACTAAATTGATTTTTAATGTGTTATAAGTAAAGAAATTATTTTCTTAATATAAATTATACTTTTCAATAGAGAGATTTTCGAATAATAGTGAATTGCAACAACAAAATTTTATTATTTTTAATTAATTCAAGTTTTGAATGACCATACAGCTGTTTTGAGTATTGCTAAATAGCAATCATCAGCGATCTTTTTGTAATATTTAATTATTCGTCATTAAATTTCTAACACCGCTAGTACCAAGGGTTGAACTCACACCCTGCCAAATTTTAAACTCAGTGTCAGTGCTTATTAGGCAACTGACCCAAAGCTGTACTTCACATAGATGTTTTGACTTGGAGGCTTCGCTCATTTTCTGTGAAAGTTCAATAATAAATTCACTTGCTTTGTTATATTAGAACGAATTCATAAACTAATAGGTTAGATGAGGGCAGAATGGCGACTTTGTGACCAAGAAATTTCACTTAAGCTCAAATAATGAGCTGTTGTGGTACCACTAACCAATTGATTAATTAACTTAAATAATTATATTTATTTTTAATTGTTAAATTTCAATAATATGCTTTGGTAAAAGTATTATTTTTTGCATGATTTTATATTATTCTTTTTTGTATATAAAACCTAATGTACCAATGTAATACAGCGAATGTCATGCTTATTTTACTCTCTCTGAATCTGAAAAGTTGGTACTTGCAGTCTCAAGGAATTATTTACGAATAATTCAATATAAGTAATAATTCCAAAAAGACACTAATGATGGGTGTTTGACAATACTCAAAACGGCTGTAGGATCAGTCAAAAATATAATAAGGTTACTCTATTAAGAGTTATAGAGCGGATATTGTACTTTTATGATCTTGCTATCACATAGAACTCAGTTTAAGTGGCTAAGTGAGTCTTGTCTTCCATACAGTTAGCAAAATTTCCAAATTAAAATATTTTCAAATAAGGTAGTCTATTTACGATTTAAATAGTATATAAGCGATAGCTTACAAATATAGTGTTTTTGTATGTATAGAGTAACTACTTATGTTTAATTAAAGACAGTTTGAACTAAGAAATTTGTATGAAGTATTATGTAGATTTGGGGTTGGGAATTTTCAATGTCATCTTATTTTATAAATTTTAAAATTACAATTGTCAATTGGGTACACACTACTCCAAATGAGTATTCAAGTTGCATAAAATGGATTAAGAACCTCAACTATCTTAGCCATTGTATGTAGTAATTATAGGCTTATTGTTATGAAGTTTATATAATTCTTATGTATGTATAGAGGAAACTAACTACTGATA